TTTGTTTGTTTGTTTGCTTATTTGTTTGTTTGTTTGTTTGTTTGTTTGTTTGTTTGTTTGTTTGTTTGTTTATTTGTTTGTTTGTTTATTTGTTTGTCTCTTAACCAATACATTTACCTCTGGGATGGTTCGTTACTGTGACCGGGCAGAACTCACAGGAATTCTGTAAATCTGCGGGACCGGCTTCTGCCTCATGCACTGGAAATAATGTCAGTAAGACGTGAACATTGACTTTTGGGGATACCGGAGTGGGAGGGTGGAGGGTGGAGGGGGGGGCTGGCAGTTGAATCTCTCTGCATGGTTTACAACAGTCAAGTCAAACGTTTGGAAAAAGTGTCCAGTCCAGGTCATACAAAGAACTGTTAACAAATGAATAGAACGCCAACCATCAAATCCAAAAGTTACTTTGGAATATTTGAACTTCAGATCCCAGCTCATGGACAACACTCGGAGACGCAACAAAGGTCGACTTTGCCAAACATCAAATCGCAACACCAAAAAGAAAAAAACCCAAATCATTTCAGTTACGAAAACGACAACAGGCAGAAATTATACAAACAATTTAGGGGGATCTTTCCTTTTTGGAGTGGGGATGGGGCTTTTTTTTCTTTCTTTTTTTTCAGACATTGCTTTCCCCAGCGTCTTCAGTGAAAAGGGAAGCAACAAACAAACAAAAAAGGAGACGTCAACTTTTACTGCTCAACTGGTCTGGAAATGTGGGTCTTTACGAAAGACTCACCACATTTTTTGTTTCAACATTCACGACTTCTCAGACTGCAATGGCCTACAAAACAACAACTCATCTTTGTGTTTCTATTTCTGGTTTTAGGAGTTTTCATTATCCCTGCAACTCTCCCGGCTCTCCGCCTGGTGTCAGTTTTGTCCCAAACGGGGAGGCGGAAATAGCAATTGTCTCCCTTCACACTCGTTTATTAGTCGCTGTTGTCCTGGGCCGGAAGTGCTGGCGGTGGGTTGAAAAGGTTCACGGACTTTGGTCGGTGATACCAGAGAGGGTTTACAGTAATGTTAGTATAACTGTAAACTCTCTGGTGATACTGTTCTTTTTGTTAGTGTAGGTGGTTA